CCTACTCGCACCCCCAGCCAACTGCTGCCCTGGACAGAGCTGTGAGGACACGGGCTCTTCTCACCCCCCACTTCTCACACACACCCACCGCCTCAAAAAGCTGGTGTGAGAGACACCCGCTGCTTTGGAAACTCTGCCTGGCATTTGCCTCACTGCCCAGCAATTCCCCGGTGGAATTAATGTAACTGAGCGGCTCCCATGGAAACCCTGGGGTTACTCACACAACTAAAATCCAGCATATGCTTAAATGTTGTTGAAACCACAACTTGATGTGGTTTAGTTCTTAACTGTAAAGTTTAAGGGAATCGTCTGTATTATCAGCGTTAATCACATAAAGTTCTGTTTTGAAAATATGACTCACTAGTGGATAGAGTTTTCCCAAATTGCTTAAAAGATTAATAAAATAATCAACTTAGCAGAGGGGAAAAAAAAAAAAAAACACAAACTATTCCTGTAAGGAAATCACTTTATTGCCTATACATGTGAATGAGCTGGTTTAATACTCAGGTTCACTGCCTCCTCTGCATTTAATCTCTTCCCTTTTATGTCCTACTCTGATTTTTTTTTAAAAGACTTTCAGGCTTTTTTAAAATTAATTATACAAATCATTAGTATTAAAAAGGTAATATAATGGTTTCAAGAACAAGCTTCACAGACTATCTGCATATTTAATCATCTGTGCTAATAAATTTTTAATCACTCATTGAGTTCAGGTTCTTGTCTTGAAGCTTAACTTGATAACAAACCTAGCAACTGGTAGAACTAATTGGTACAGAGTAAGTGAATAATTTATAAGAGGAAAAAGCACTGGGTGTTCTGGAGGTGTGCAGAGACCACAAGTCACAGATATTTCTGTGAGGAAGCAGGAAAACATTGGCTGATTACAGGAATTTCGTGATACACTGCTGACATCCAGAGGCCAACAGTCAATACTGTTCACATATGTGAGCAAGGCTGTAAAGCGTGCTGTAAAGCCAGATTCATTAGTTTTAAATATTCATGCATTTCATTAAAGTTAACATTAATTGCACTACCATACACATTGATTATGCATAGACCATAAGTGTTTAACCTCTGAAAGCTTGCAAGTATATTCAAGTAATGGGGTATGTCCCATCTTCGATGATTTCAGCGAAAGCTTCAGCTACCAAGTTGAAATTAGAAATGGATTGCATTACAGTGCTAATGAATAGTAGTTTGAAATATCAGAACAGTAATAAAAACAATTATTTTACTAACAAAACAGAAATTCTGACATAAGCTGTAAATTGCTTTGTATTTATCCAAATTAATAAATGTAACCAAAATTATGTATAAGATTTCTTACTGACAAATGCTAGACTGATTTACAAGCTACATATATTAAATATGTTTATACATTTAAAACTAACTGGTGGCTTCTATTTAGATGAAGATGAGTAGCTTTTAAACAACATAACAACAACAAAATAAAAAGCTGTTCTCTTGAAATAAGCTGATACCTGTCTTAAAATGAGACACCTTGAACTCACACTACAGAATTATTCTACCCCCAGGGAAGAACAAAATGCTACAATTCTTAAACCAGGATGTAACAGACAACATTTGACAGAAATTCAATTATCCTTGAAAGATCCCACTTGTAGTTAGTTACGTACATAATCCTCTTATTTAATGGGTTAAAGCTCTCTTTCAAAACATTTAGTTTGATGAACTGAAGACTCGCTACATTTCAAAAAATTCATTAAGTGACTTAATAAGATTGTTAAGTAAAAACACTCAAAGTTTAAAAATGTCATTTAATGCTGCCCATGCAACCTTAATTCTGGCCGTGTATGTATATGCATTATGAAACACCAGTGAATTAACTTTTAATCTCCTTTGAGCTAAGAAGATTTTAAGATTGGAAACTAAGGCACAAAGGGCATGCCAACAAATACAATGCTGAGCTTTAGAGCAATCTCTGAACTAGCTCACATCTTGCAGAGCATACCCCTGCAGGGCTAATTACCCCAGATAGAAAGCTGGGCTTGTAGAGTTGTACTGCTTCTGGTACCTCTGCATGGCAAGTTTAGTACTCTCTTCCTGGAACTGCACTGCACTACACATACGCTCACAGAAGTATAAAATTTTAAAACTGAAGAAAGTATGAAGTGTTTTTTACATATGCTTCGAACATGGGTGCTTTGACACTGATTTTCCATCAAGAAGTTTAAGACTGTAGATTCTTACCTTCCCAAAGTAAAGGTAAAAACGTACCACTCGTATTAAAAAAATCCCTCTGCACACAATACCAATTTCAATTGTAATTTAAAAAAAAAGATAAATAAAAATCGGTCCTTAAATGCTCTATTAGGTAGATATAAAATCGTCCAAGTTTTGTAGAGAAGCAAACCATTGGAGGCAGATAGACTAGCTTGCCCAAAATAGTACAGATTTCTCTCTGAGTTGTTAACAACTCCTGATTAGCCAATTTTCTTTGTGAAGGTGGGAACTAAAGTGCCGTATTCCTAATTAGAAGCCACCGTTAACAGACTGAAATTCTGTTTAAACAGCATTGCCTACACCCTCAAAGAACTTTATGGTCAGATATATCCTGGGCAATATCATAAAAAAACCTTTCCATTTTTCTGATAAGAAAATATTGGTTGCTACCAAGGATCTTGCAAATCATATATCAACCAAATGTACCATTTATCGTGTTTTAAAATAATCTGAACTTTTTTAGGTTTGTGGGGTTTTTTGTTGTTGTTTTTACACATTAAGACTACCTTCTTTATGCTTCTTCCTTCAGTAATATTTAAACAAGGAAGCAGCCTGTTAAGTCATTTAAATACCAAACTAGATTTTATTAGTTTTACTGGTTTGGTTTTTATGCCAAAAAAACCCCATACAGTTCAGGAAAAACCATACAGTTCAGGAAAGGTATGCTCATTTGTTAAATATTTTGTATTCTCTGCAACATTTCAGTTTAGATTTTCATTTAAGAGAGCTGTCAAAATGCAGAAGGCAACACTTTACAGACTAAGAATGCTTTGAATACTTACCAGTTAAAAACTTTCAGATGTCCAAAACCATGCTCATTAAGCAATACTTCATTTTACTTGGGGTTTTCTGATGTTTTGTTTTGTTTTTTAATTTTATTTTCAATTTCACTTGTGGGAAAAGAAAAAGAAACAAACTGAAAAATCAGGGAAAGATTCGTGATGGTATGTCTCTCTAACACATGACACAATCCCCACTTTCATTTTTCTTTTCTGATAGGACCAAAGGTGACAGGTACTCACTTAGCAAGCAGTTAGCTTCTCTACCAAGCATGCTGGCAAATACATACACACAAAGAAAAATTATGCCAAAGCTTTCACATGCCCAAGTAGAAACAGACTACAGTAGATAATTCATTTCATTTGTCAGAAGATGATCAGATAAACAGGGGTACAGAGGAGAATGTTTCTCCTTATTCTATACGAAACTCTGAAATAATACTAGGCCTGAGAAGTAATTACATTAATAAACTAAATCTGAAGAGGTTTTAATTAAAACTATATTTTTGTAATTACAATTTTAAATTATATTTGAGGTTTAAGAGTTAAATTTATTAGATTGTGAAGAGTTTTACAAGGCATTCCTGATGTAATGAGCTTAGGCACCACATATGTTGCATCTTTGGTACATGTTATGAAGAGTTGCTGTTTTAATGAGCTTTAAAAACTGTATTTGCATACCAGAATAAAAGGTCAGTGATGTGTGGATCAAGTCCGTAAATTAAGTATCACAGTATTATGTTATCATTATTGCCTTCCACAGATACACAATAACAAAACCATAGGCCATTACGATACTATTTCAACGCTTCCATCTACATGACCTTGTTGGCTTACGCACACTGACGCTGCTGTGCCTCAGTTCCATCTTACTCCATCCCTTGCTCAAGCCTTCTTCACCTTCCTTCCCCACCAACTCCTACAGCAGAAGAGCTGGTATGTCTGGAAGTCAGAGAATCAAGCACAGGAAGGAGGGGCCGTATTCAGTGTGGTGGCCCATCTCCAAGCACTACTTTGCACTCCAGCCTTCACCCCAAGTAAAGATGCCCCGGGCCAGGTCCTGAACCCTCGTAACAAGATCAAACCTATGGGACAGCAAAGCATGAGGACAGGGATGCCTTTTTCAACCCAAGCCCTATTCCACTTGAGTCTGATCAAGAATGCAGCAGTATCATCTCTCTTTTAAAGCACAGATACTGAAGCTACTTCTAATGCTATGTCCAAAATTTGACTCAGTCTACCATAACAGTTCTTTTTAGCTGGAATATTAGATGTTTGGTAATCTCTAAAGACTAGTTGACTAGTAGCTGCATTTAAATTTTCATTCTGTGATGAATAATAAAATAAGCTAAGAATGGACTGCAAATACATTCTCACCAGGTTTTCAGCAAAGAGTAAAGTTCACTGGATTTATGTTTATTTGTCAGCATTGTAAATTTGTAAATATTATAACACTACCTCTATTTTCTAAGAGCAACTGAAGTTGATTCCCTCCCCAACTCTGCAACAATCCACAGTACTTAACAGGTCTCTCTCCCTCTCTCCGTGTTAGAGACTGTAGGTAAACACTAAACCAATTGATACACATGATACTTTATGCACGTTTATAAATATCACAGCCAAAGATGTAGACTTAGGCATTGGAGCAAAAAAAAAATCCTTTAAAATATTACAACAGTAATAGCACAACTCAATACAACTGATCAGTTATAAGTAGTTTTAATGATTTTTCACTTTTTGTATATGATAATCCTCAAAGTAGCATTCAAAAATATAGTGCAAAATATTTATTCATTTTATTTATAAATAAAATGTGCAGCTCAACTTCATTTCCTCACCACACTAAATGTTATCTTTCTATGTGATGAATAAAAGTTGAGAAACATTTGAAGAAACAAAAAGTTAATTTTAAACCTAAGAACAAAGATCTCCCCTTCAGTTATATTTTTGCAGAAGTTACACAATTATTTTTTTTAAATTGTTTTCAGTTGAAAAAAAAAACAACAAAATAAAAAAAAATAAAAAACACTAACAAAACAAAAAAAAAAAGTCCAAGACAATGCTAAAGGATTACATAGGAAAGAATAGGTTTTTAAAATCCATAAAGTTAATTTTGCTGTGACAAACACAAAGCAAAGTTCTTATTGTTACAGAATATAAATTTTTTTTGCAGCTTAAACATAGACTCTTTACAATGTAATACTTTTTCCCCTTCTTACTATACAAATTCCCTTTAGGGGAAGAAGTATTCTAGTATTTTCCTTCACTCTGATGAAACAACAGATGCTTTGGTTAAAGAGCAATTCGTGCACAATAGTGTTTTAACTTGCAAGGCAGTACTCCTTTATTGAGTTGATAGAATTCCACTAGCTGGATGAGATCAGTAAATCTGGTATGACCATCATCAAGGGTATAGAATAGCTTCCCATCATCTTCCAACTGTAAAAATGGAAAAACAAGATAGAATAAAATCCTCTTTTCCTATGGTATTTCTTCCTAATTGAAATACTTGTTTGAGAAGTCTTGTAGACCAAGTTATTCATAGTCATATGACTACTGAGAGAATGAAAAATACAGTCAACATTCATAGCAAGATCAAAAATAACATAAAAATAATGCATTCTTTAACTTCACCTTTAAGTTAGGTGCATGCCTAAAAGGAAAAAAAACAGTTAAATAAGTATAGGAATAGTCTTTCTGCACTAGCAATGCTACTTTATGCCTTTGCTTTGGAATGATAGCTGGAGTTAGTATGAGCACTGAGTCTTTGGAGTGTCTAGAAACAACCAAGTTTAAATTTACTCAGATTTCAACCTTTGCTGCATTCATATTCTGTGTAACTGCTACATTTTTTATCAGTTATTTTGTAAGGTGCACTGAGGTTACACGTTAGTGCATTGGTGTACTGGATGATATTTGCTACACAAGAAACTTCCCATCACAAAAGTAACATGCTTGATGTAGTAATATGTTCTTTGTTGTAGGAAAAAACTGCAAAGCATACCTTGAAAGATAACTTTTGTCTTTTAAATGCTTAAAAATTCACAGTCAGTATTTTCCTATTCTAGGTTGCTGAACACTAACTCTTGTCCAATTTGTATTGTGCTGCAGACTATAAACTTTCTTGATTTTTTTCCTCTACTGTTGGTATGTCTAATATCAAGAAGTTTCAATGCAAGAGTGACTAACTAGTATTAATGTAAATAGAGAGGGAAAAAACCCTTCTTAAACTATTTTTAAAAAGAAAAGGAAAATAGATAGAAAATAGATACTTTACAAGATTGAGAGAGTACTGAACAGAAGATCCTGAAGTAGGGCTAGCATGGAGTAGCAGATGATGTGCTAGGGAAAGATGCGACTATCTTGAGTACGGAGGAAGAGAGAAGATATAATTAGCTCTCTTACCTGCAATTAAGATTTCTCATCTGAAGCAGCTGTTGAACTGCTTATGACTCCTGGTTATTCTACCCCTTCCTATCGTGTCTGGAAGTAGTCTGTAATTTCTTTATTCTCAGACTTTGGTCAATCCAGGTCAAACACTGCTAGTTAAGGAATTACCAATGTGTGCATGTGTAAATTCCTGTGCTCCAGCCAAGAACCTGAAAATGGATTATCATCCATCGGACTTTCCTTATGCATGCAATTTTCCTGCCAACACACTGAAGACAAGGAAGAGTTGACAATTAAGATGTATGTTGACTGGGATTTCATTTTTAGCTTCTTTTTCCCCCTCCAAATTAATCCCAAACCTTGAAGTTAATATCAGACAGATTGCTAATTCTAAAGCAATCAATATTTTGCAAAGTAAAAACTCATATCAAAGTTATGTTTCCCAGGAACCTAACATCTTCTGCAAGCTAAATTGGCTGTTATGAGAGAATGTTTTGGAAAAAGATAGTCCCGGAAATGTATATCAATGCTTTTACAGGGACTACAGAACAGCTAATTTCAGGGTAGACTACACTGACTACAACTTGTATCAGCTCAGAGTAATAAGGCTGAAAAATGCATTTAAGCTATCAGGTTCTCAAATTTTCACAGTATGGTATCTCAGTTGTATCCCAAAGGTTTTCTTTTAAACTGTTTACAATCAATTCCCTGCCACCCCCCTGCAATACCTGTTGCACATGTTACCAATATTGACATGATGCATCTGTTAACGTGGGGGAAACTTGAATTGGTAGGCTGCATGCCTTATCTGAAAGATGTTTTTAAATACAGTATAACCAGAAGCAATCTTAATTGAAAGAGAGAAATAATTCATTTAGAGAACAAATGATTTTTAACTTGTAAAAATACCTTCTTAATGCCATTTATTTATTTGTATTTAGTAGGGAAGTTTATCTTCTCTTCCCAATGATGGGAAAAAGGCAAGAATTTGGAAGAAGAGTAGGATTTGAAGTTCAAAAAGGTAACCACGATCTCCAAATGATAAGATACCAACTTATTGCAGTAACACAAAATGCCTTGTTTCTTAGAAAATTATAATTTCATTTAGATAATCATCAGCAACTAGAAGCAAAACCTTTCTCCCCTCAAAAAATACTTTTCTGAACTCCTTAAAAAGTATCGTTCTAGTGAAAACAGAGCATGCAGTAAGTCAGGGTACTGAGAATGGTATGAGGGTACTGAATGCAACTGGAAATTAAATGACACAAAAGAATTTAAATATGCATATGTTTGGGGAACTAACAGTTTCCATATTCACATTCTCTCTCTGAGTGAAGTTGTGTTCATTACAGATTTATTTTTCCTGGGAACTAGCATAGGACAAATTGCTTTACTTTAAAGACAATTTAAAAAATTTCCTTCAAGTAAGACAGGTTTTGCACTCAAGTGGTGCAAGTATTCTATACCATCAGCATTGAAAAACTGACCCAAGCCTGTAAACAATCTATGTCAAAACAAAGAATTCCTAGTTTCTCCAAAGATCCTACACCAGGAGAGCAAGAGTTTAGCATGTGTGTATATGATTAATTCTTCAAATGCACTGCTTACATCTGCAGAACAATAGAACAGACTGGATAATTTTTTTGAAGAGGAGAAACGTGCATCTCAGAGGAATCAGGAGATAACTGCAGCTTCCTGCCACATCTGCTCTTAGAGGAGAGAGGGTCTGTTCCCTGACAGGGAAAAAGTGGTCTCTAATTTGAGAGTTAAATGACATCCCAATGAAGTAGAATCGGACAGTATTTGGAATTCAGAATGTTTTCTAAACCATACAACAGTTATCCCAAAGTAAATATTAGAAACAACCATAGTCAGTAGAATCACAGAGATCTTACACCTGTGATTCTGATCACAGAGCATATGCTGGTTCTCACATGGGATCCAGAACATAGCTATCACTTTTAGATGAACAACTCCTCCCTTGTTTGTACCTAAAACCAACAAAACTGGACAATTCTTTTAACTGACCCTGATTCATTCCTTTCCTCCTCCCAAATAATGCTTCAATCTTATTCTACAGGAACTTTTTTAGGGGAAGATATCAACTACAAGCCCTAGCTAAGTCATTCAGAAATTTGTGACTCATCATAGGGGATCACCAGATGAGAAACAATAAAAAACTGTCACTAGACTCATTTCTACTGAGAAATAGCAGAATCTTCGAGAAACTTCAGTGGGAAGAAATATGGAGGCTAGAGAATTATGTGGTCTGGAAGAAAGGTTCTTGTGAAGAGAGAAGAAAAAAACTATAGATCTGCTCAGTTATGTCAAGCATCTGTGGCTAAAACACACAATGCTAAAATGTTTCTCACCTCAACAGAAGCAGCCTGTAAAGAAAACAGCATAAACCACCTCTGGAGAGAGTGGAAGCAATGGGGAAAGCTGGCCATTCTGGCAGGAGAACTGTATGATATCTTCAATGAAAACCGACAGAAATATGATTTTAATTTAGGAAATTTCAGATTGCCTATAAGTAGCTGGCCTAAATAAGCATATAATTTTTTTTTTTTTGCTAAAATCATCCCCCTGAAGAAGACTTGGACATGAATATACCACAATAACATGAATCAAGAAGAGTGGTCAGCAAAAAGTGTTTGACTCCAGATATTGAGAGAAACTATACCGAACAGATGAGTCAGTGAGATATATACACACACACATTGTAAGCAGTCTGCCTAAACAGATGACTAAAAAGAAATTGTGCACATGTTGAAAAATGAAGAGGCAATTTGACCTTTATTAATACATTATTTTCTTGCCATCAGGGTTGCTTCTATTCCAGTTCAAATAGATCTGTCTATTTCTTCAAGACACTTTAGGATTTCATAATACTAGGCAAGCTTTATAACAAAACAAACAGCAAAGCTCAAAAATGTTCAAATCTACTCTAGAATACTAATTATTTTTAGTGCTACAGGTACCATGTTTACATCTTCCATATAACAGGAAAAGAAAAAAATTCCAGTGATATCCTATCACAGTTACTCAGTTGTTCTGTTTTACAACTGTATATATAAACTGAAAGATTTACTTACTGGTACAATTTGAAAATGCTTAATTTTTAATCCATGACTCAATGACAGTACAAATGTTTTGGGGTTACTTTGGCTATCACGTACCAGGAATACCCTAAAAGAGATTGAAAATTGTCACAGTAAGATCACTCTGGAAAGCCTTTTGTAAACATCCAGTTAAAACCGTTGTTAATTCACTACAGTAAGTATTAGTGAAAAAGACTGATAATATGTAAGCTATGCTTCTAATCAGTATTTCTTTACAAATGTGTCACTGGAAATACTTTTTCTTAAATTCTTCTTCACCTTGTCTATTATGTGAACAATATGCATTCTCAGAATGAATGACACTGTAGGCATTAGTTTTTACACTGCATAGAATTGCAATGCATCTCCAGACAGAAATGCACAAAGTTTGTGCTTTGAACAAAATTTTTCTTCGGACTTTGAGAGTTACCTATATCACGAGCATTATAGGGAAAATTCAAAAGTTAGTTCAACAGGAAGTTTATAGAAAAGGTAATGCAAAACATACCAGAATGATTTTCTCACCTAGCCAGCATTCATAAATGCACACTCATTGCTGCACATTGGCAAAATTCCCACTGAGACAGAGCTCACTTTATGGCATCATTATTTAAATCACAGCACTCTCACTGGCTGCCACTCTCACATTGCCATTGCCACTAGTTCACTGATAACTTATTCCAGCCAGGTTATGGATAGGCATAATTTTGCCATAATCCTGGTAGGATAATCTGGTACAGGCAAAGGATGATTACCAATAAGAGACATCTTTCGTTGAATCACTGAGGCTAGAGAACAGTTTGGTGGATAGAGGGAAGTACCTGGTTCACAGCTTTATAGTAAAGGGAGTCTGAACTGTGCAGGTTCACAGCTTTATAGTAAAGGGAGTCTGAACTGTTTGCACTGTGCAGGTCTGGAGCAGATATGGCTAACCAATGTACCAAAGAAGGGAAATGGAAGGACAGGCATTGTCAAGCATGCTCCTCTTTCAGGACACAAAAGAAATGGGCAAGATGAACTCGCAGGTATCAAGCAAGTGAGCACTAGTGGCCACCTACATTTGCCCAACCACATGGCAGGAATGAGAGCACAACTATATGAAAATAAAGCATTTCAGGAGAAGAAACCAGACAGTGGCTTACAGTGGATTTTCACTGATTAACGGCATGGATCCAAACTACTAATTTCATCCTGAGAGTTTTTATTTTTACAAAGTAAGAAAATACCTGGAATTAAGAAATTTGGAGTCCATAACCATTAACATGTCTGTCAAAATCCCCATGCAGTCTAATTCAGAGCTCTGATATTCAGTTATTAAAGAGGGATAATTGCCAACTCAGCATACGGCTTGTAAGAGCACACAGCAAGTATAAGGACAAATAAGACTTCTCAATAGACCCAGGCTCTCCTAACAAGCTCTCTCTCACCACCTAGTGGTCTTTCACCCTCTCCAGGACATGAATGAAAGTTTTCATAGCACCGATAGATCCTTTGCATAAACTTAAATCTTTTATATGTTTGTCATTAAGGACTCACATTTTATTTTATTTAGAAAAATGACACTAAGAATGCGTCACTTTTCAGATAACCAAAATGAGCTCTCTACACCCAAATACTGGGATCCACATTAAACAATACACAAAGTAATCACACTGGTTAGGAAACAAAATACAGGCTAAATAGGATTTATGTTCCCATTCACCAGTTCTTTTAAAGTCCATTTTCTTACTTTTTTCCTTGTTTTAACAGCAAAAAGAAGCAACACTTTTTCTCCTTCACATAAAAAATCTTTACTCTTTTCTAACCTTATCACAACAGACCCACTTTGCTTGTCAAAGAACCTTTAAAAATGTTTTTATGACAAAAGGGTTGTAGTTCACAGAATCTTAGAAATGTTGGTTGGAAGGGAATTTTATAGACATGCTGGATGGCTCCAAACAACTGCTCCTTCATAAACTTAAGTAATTCTCTGAATGACCATTTGCATTTTGTCAAGGGCTTTTTGGTAATGCTGTTATGCATCAATCAGATGCCAGTCAGTTTGCAATCCTGTCAGCCATTTATTACTGAAAAGTCTTCAAATGTCCTTTAGGGGGTAATGTATGAAATCAACAATATTGATACATAAACTTCATTAAGAAAGTTGGTTTTACACCAGAACAGTAGATCCAAAAACTTTATTCCTTCATAGCACACCTTAAGATTGTTGCTGTCCCTAATTCTGTTATTGGGTTATCCAAATACTAAGACTATTGTAGATCCTTTATATAATAGTCCCTTTATCTTCTTTAAGCCATGATGAACAGTGTATTTGTTGGTACATATGATGTTACAGAGGTCCTACGACCTCTGTCACAGATGCAGCAGATCTCCCTGCATGGGATCACCTTAAAAAGCTCAACAGAGATTATTTTCTCTGCTCCCAGCCCCAGAAAATAGAATCTCCCTATTCTCATGAAAAACTTCTGTATTTTTTCAGCCCATCAAAAAACACAGCATTTGTCACATACTATAAGGTATTCATGACTTCATTGTAACTCCTGAATATGAGAGCTCATACTACCATGTTCTAATCAATTCTAGACAGTCCATGCAAGAGTATCATCCTCACCAAAATCACAATGCATGTCTGTGAATAGATCCAAGAATATAACATAAACAAAAATGTACTAAACTAATGTTAGCAAGGTATTGACTTTCTCATCTCAAACACCATTGTTCTTTATTTGCCAAATCTACTGAGCTTCATTTAACAGTATGTGTGTGTACCCACTGAAATACACTGGAAGATTCATCAGCCCTAGAATGACACACTGCTCAGAAATACATGTTGGATTCACCCCCATGTCCCATCCCTCTCATGTAACAAATGCAAAAATGAATGCAGAATACAGAAGCAGTTCCAGGTTGATTATTAGCCAGCTCTAAAAACCGGACCCCTGAAATTTAAAAACAAACAAACAAACAAACAAAACCCAAGAAAAACAAAAACAAAACCAAAAGTATTACAACATACTTAATCAAAAACTGAAGGAAACTAACCAGCAATCTGATGTAACAGGTACCTAACCGGAAACAGTCAAGAAACTTTGAGTTTTATGGAATTACTCATTGAATGAAGGAGGCTCAAGTTTACATTTAATATATGAGTAAGAATAAAAATATGGAAATGAAAAACTGGAGTATTTGAACATAAAATATGTACTTTCTTATTTATTTTTCTTAATTAATATTTAAATCAGAGAAAAGTAAGTCTTATCCTAATGTTCAATGTTTACCCTTAAGGGATAATACCATTTTTAGTCGTGTCATGAGGAAAAGCATTGAAAAAAACATTTTTTTCAATGGCTGCCTCTGCACAGTTCATCTTAGAATAATGTTTTCAGGCTTTCTTTCATTCTTTCATCACTAATAAGAGATACAAAAGACACTGGTGCCAAAGTTGACAGTTCCCAGAGAGTATTGTGCAAATATAGAGCTCGAGTGGCTGGCTCTGAGCGGACATAAGTAATCTGTCAGTGACAGAATCGAAGTGTTAGATCACCACTTTATTGCTTCCAAAAGATATAAAATGGAAACTAACTGATCCCCAGATAGCCCTATATAAAATAATTTTTTTTCTATTAGGTAACTGCAAAATCTTCCTTCCTCGATTTCCCTCCAAATAAGAAGTACATGAAAATAGCAGTTGCTGACTAGAAATGTGTCTCAGAAGAGTTATGTAAAGAATTAACTTACCCATCTACAAGTCCATGCTGCAAAATAAGTCTCTGAGCCTCTTCTCTAGAGATTTTATGATGAAACCATGACTGAGATCTGTGTATAGCTGTAGAAATAAAGATCTTTTAAAAACATTTTGCCTTTATTGAAAGAACTAGTTATTGCATTTCTCTGGCAATGAATTAACACACACATACCCATGCTAGACATGGCAATAGGACTACCATGTGAGTTGAGTCGTAGACACCCTCTTCTCTGTATGAGAGAGAAGTAAAACATGATTTCAAATTCTTTTTGTGTAAAAAAAAAAAAAAAAAATCAGAAAATACTATTCAGAAAGAGCAAAGGTGTTTATACCCGCCATGCTAATCCTTCTTCAACTGCAACTGAAAGGGCTTCTGTTGGATTTTCTATAATTCTGCTTCTGTGTCCTGAGAAATCCATTGCTACTAAAGAATTTTCTGAAATGCTTCTCTGCAACAAAGAAAAATAAATTTAGTTTGTTCATTTTTTAAAAGATCCATCATTTAAAAGTGAGCTTCTGAGAAAATATTATATTTTGTAAGTGGTGTTTCAAGTATCTGCAGTGTTTCCCATTAGAGCCAAACTCATTTTACCCTGGGGAGCATCTGTAATTCCAGCATGCTGCTTCAAAGCTCAATTTTACAGTCTGCCAAGACAGATCATCTTTTGACATTACTACACTGGACGATAAAGACATTACTTTATCATAAATTCTACTTATATTTTTAACTATAACCAGCCCTTTTCATATCAAAACAAGCCAGGAAACTGTTATTAAGTTGTCCAAATAACAGAAAAAAAAGATAAAATACAAAATTCTTATACATAACCATCAAATTAACAAAGATTTTAAATATTTTGTTATAAATATGTCATATATTTATGTATTAACTATATAAACTTTCACTCAAAGTTTACTGGATTTAAGCATTGAAAACAGCAATTTCTATGGGGTTTAACTTCTATTTTAACACATCTCTTCTAACTCTTATCCCAGGCTCAAAGCTTGTAGGATCTGTTAATAAAAAATGCTTGTGTTTTTTTTCTCCCAGTGAAGATCAAGTTTGTAATAGAATAAAAAGCAATGAAGTTTGACTAAACAGTCTTAAAACTCACCAAAATACTCACAAATCAAGGTTCACAAAATCAACTTTAATACATATTATAATGGCTCAAATGTTGGCAGGCACTGGAATATCAAATAATTAAAAGAACATTCTAACATTCTGTAAGTTAAAAGTAACATCTGGAACCCAAGGGGCCCAGATTTCTGTAGTGTTAGCAAAGCTTCCTAGTCCAGAACCAACGCAGCTCTGTTTCGTTCCTGTTTGGTTACAAGCATGAATATAACTAGAAATGGAAGACAGCAATTCTGTAGTTAAGTGTAATTCTTGACACTGTAGTCTAAGGTCTGTCTGAGTAACTGTAATCTGCAAAGAGCTTTGCAAAAGTTAAAAACAAACAAACAAACAAACAAAAAACAAAAACAAAAAACAAGAGCAAAGTAAGAGAAAATATTTGCCTTTGCCTTTAGGAGAGTGGAGGGAACCCCTTGTAGCTGACGTGGTTGTGTTATTGAGAAGTGTGAAACATGGAAGTGGTTCCCCTATGAAGTATATTCATCAGCTTGTGAACTTAATTCCCAAGTTTATCCAATTTGCTGTTAAATCATGAATTATACACAAGTAGAAGAACAATGCTGTGCTTAATACTGGTTATAAATTCTGCCTGTGTTAGTAGCTACATGAGCTAAAACAACACAAGTTTGAGAGGAGAATCAGTAATGGCTCCTGGATCCATTATAAAAGCAGCAGCTGGTTATTTTAACAGCTTCACATAACAGAAAATAAAGACATGGTCAGTGTATTAAGCACAGTTTTGAAGCCATGATTATTAGCATTATCACTAAAAACTATTTTTGTAAATATCTATAACAGAAAATGCATATTTTAGGCATTTTAATAACAAGAACTATAATAAAAGCTCAAAAAGTCCACCACAAAATCACCGTCACAAGTCCCAGCATCAAGCGATTTTTACCCAGTTTAGTCAACAAAAACCAAAATCGATAAATCACGCATTAAAAAAATCTGAAATCAAATGACTCATAAAGAACTGGGATACCATAAGATATTAAAGAAAAGGACAGCCTGATCCAATGTTAACTATCTGACTGAGAAGATTTACACAGCATCTAGTATAGGCTGTTTCTTGAAAACCTAGTTTTGCCAAATTATGGTGTTCCTCTAAAGTCCAGTCAGTATTACACCAGCTGAAATTAATCTCAAGTACTTAATATCCTATATTTCTTAAAAAATAATAAAATCAAGTATTTCTGTATACTGACAAGGATTGCGATAGCTTTCTTATTCATCATTTGCAGCATGTGTAACCTGAAACACTTTGCTTCTTTTTTAATGCATTTGTAGCTCTGCTGCTCTGTTTTCAAAATCCTCTTTCCATTCTTTTTGACAGTGATAATAAGCGAATGAACACCCAAAATACTGGAGATTAGACAAAGTGGAAAAGCCTGTTAACTGGTCTGAACTAGCTAATTTGTATTAAGTAAGTAAATTAAAAAATTAGCTCTCTAGTCAACCCTGACAGCCCTAAAGATTTCAGCAAGCATTCTCACATGCAAAGATTTGCAGGATCAGGTCAGTAGTATAATCGACACAAGTTACTTAAAAATAGCATGATGGCAGAAACAATGGATTTATTCATGGAGCTACTGTGGGACATACCATAGGTGTTATATTCAAAGGGCTGCAGCCACTTCTACCTTGATACGGTTGCATGTAATTCTGATACAGCTGCATCCCATACTAAAACCAGAAAATAAGATGGTTAGCATTTCAGATTATAAACCTAAGCCAAGTAAATTTTTTCCAGATGTAAAAGATAATACATGCCTTTCTTTACCATTAAAAACCAGGGACAAATGTTGTTAGGATAAGGAAATGCACATCATCATCATTGTTGCTGCTGCCTTTATAAATGCACACCCTGCATTAAATACTACCCACTTAATACACCAACTGACCTATTCCTATTTTGTACAGACACATTTTAACAATATAAGTTCCCTTCTTGTATATTCTTGTCTCTTTGTTCAAAACTGTGCAAGAATCTCACTGAATTCAATATGTTTACATAAAAGCATACACTTAATGTTATATATGTGTAGGACTGAGGCTTCAAGACATCATCCCATCCCCTGCAAAGATTCCAGTAACTTGGTCTCTCTCTGCTTGTTGGGATGAAGAACAATAAGTTTTCAGAGTACAAAATTGATACTGCTATTGCATGGGAACCTAGAATTACATCGCATGTCTACCATACAGTATCAAAATTTCACATAGCAAACATAAGGAAGAAGTTAACTCCACACAGAAAAATTACCTTAAGCAACCTAACTGCTGTCATCCAGCAGGTCCTACTTTGTTCATCATCTGCACAGAGCTGTTTCAGGTCTCTGGTTCCTCCTGATTTGTTAGGCTAGAAGGCCACAGCACATTTTTTTAGCATTAATGCATATCTTGAAGATAATACCTGTTGAAATAAAAGCCACTAATTCTCCTATTTTATAATAGACAGCTGAATATTGTTTTCAAAAACCTTAAAGAAACTTAAGCTTACCTAAAAACTGTGGCTTGCTTTAATATATATCAGAATAAGCTTGTACCTTAAAGCAGAATCCATAGTTTGTTGGTGCTCCAGAAATCTTTTTGCCTGCCAAAGACATGTACATATCACTATTGCTGAATTCACAGAAAAACTGCAGATGCCTTGGCTCCTAAAAAGAAGAGCAATGTAATAAGGTTAGACTATTTGTAGCAAGCCTCTCCAGATAAGAAACTCAGAAGAGTACAGTAGTCTTCCTGTTCCAAAATACAGTCTTACATACTGCAGTGTTAACTGTGACATCATGAAATCTAGAGACAACTCAACATTAATTTTATAATGCAGAGAAAAAAACACCTCAAGCTAGTTAGAGTCCATTCTTCCAGAGAGGGAGAAAAACAAAGTACAAGTGATATCATTTCTGGGAAAACATCCACTAAATTTAAGCCACAATAATATTAGAGTAGGAGTCAAGTTTTGAGAGCAGTATGAATTTCAAGCATCAAAATAAAATACACTTGCATAATCTGAAAAACAATGTGTTGTAAGTTCTGCCCAGTATTATTTCTAACCATCATCTCCATCCTCTAAGGTTAAGTCAAGGAAGCAATCAAAAGAAATTTACTGAGGAATACAAAAACAGCTCAATGAACACTCTGGCAGTTAACACAGAAAATTCAGAACAAGAAAAAACATTGTTTTAAGTGGTTTATCTAAAATGTGTCTCAACTCCAATGTATCCTGTTTAATATAATCAGGTTTAAAGTACTAAATGAAAAACTGTGCAGTGACAAAATTTGAGAATTCTCAAAATCTTCCTCTAAAATCCTTTTATACATAGGTTTTGGGGGCTTTTTAGATAATGAACTATTATGTTCACTGTGCTAGTTTTATGTGAGCAGTGGAGTATTTGGTAGCAGGGGAGGGGGCTACAGCAGTGGCCACTGCAGGCTCCCCCAGCTCCAAGTCAGTCCCATATCTGGCTAGGGCTGAGCTAACTAGCAATGGTGGCTGCGCCCGAAGGACAGGACTCTGAGGGAAGAAGCAGCCCCCACCATTGTAGTTTGATGCTGGGAGGACTGCAACACACAGGGGTGACCCACGCTGGAGCAGCACAGTAAATACTGTAACCTGTGGGAAGGACTCACGTTGGAGAAAGTTCATGGAGGGCTGTCTCCTGTTAGACAGGAACCACACTGAAGCAGAAGAATGCAAGAAGTTGTTCCCCCTATCCCCGAGGAGAAGAAGCAGCAGGACTGATGGCACCCTCCATTCCCGGCCCCCCCTTCACTGCTGGAGGGGAGGAGGTAGAGAAATTGGGAACAAAGCTGAGCCTGGGGAGAAGGGATAGGGGAGGGGAAGGTGCTTTTAAGATGTGGTAATGCTCTCACTGTCCTACTCTGTTAAGTGTTGTTGTAGTTAGTGTCTGAATTAAACTTATGTTCTTTTTTTTCCCCTAAGGAGTTTGTCTTTTGTCTGTGACTATAATGGGTGAGCCATCTCTCCCTGTCCTTATCTCAATTCCTGAGCCTTTTACTTTATTTTCTTCTTCCCAGCACTTCAGGGGAAGAGGTGAGTGAGCAGCTGTGTGGTGCTTGGCTGACCTGAGCTCAAACCAGGACAACCACTTTTCAGAGCATGTACTTATACGTCAGAATTTTAACTACTATTTGAAAATTCATTTTTAAAGGGTACTCTGTTAACTGATTGGAAAAATATTAACCAGCATGAAGCAAAATTATCAGAAAAAAAAGAAAGAGTTTCTAAGACAATATTTTCTCATATTTATCTCTCAATATCTCTTAAGATTTTATTTGTTATAGATTTTTTCTTTTTTACTACTATAAATTGAAATTAAAATTTTTATTATTATTAGAACAAATGATAAATACATACACATTTTCTGTAACTTCATAGTTCTCTCTCTCTTTTTTTTTTTCTTCCCTTACCTTAGATGTACCTTTAGTGGAAAAATAAAGGCCAGATCTTCTCAAAAGAAAGTACAATTTTTTCCACGATTTTTTTCCCTGCTCCTTTGCATGCAAATAACCATGAATCTCCGGATATGTGCTGGAGCTTAGGAACATCTGAAAGAAAATATCAGACATGTGCTTTTCTTTACATCTGAAACCAGCTTTCTGTTTCATTAACATACTCAGGACTAAGGGGAATAAACCCCTGAATCCACTATCACACCACAATAATTCAGTTATGATTACATCTAATCCCATTAAGAGTACCTCTGATTTAAGGTATGCTAAGCAAGTTACATATTTTTTATGGAACATATGGTTTGAAATGAGAGCATTAGTTATGCAATATGTTGACTTCAGCAAACAAAACCAGTGTAAGAAGTTCTGATCCCATGGCTCAGACCCTATTTATATAAAACTGCAAATTAGTACTACCAATAGAAGAAAAAAAAAAAAAATAATCCATCCCTCCCCCAGTTACAAACCAGATAAGAGAACTGGTCTGAGTAAAAATTAATTCATCAAACAAATCACAAAATCTGAATCACAAAACCATGCAGGTCATCAGATATTACCATTTCAAAAGGCAAGAACAAAGGTCTCAGGACCGGACGTGGTGCTTTAGTAGGAGCTTTAGTTGAGCCAAAAACAGGAGAGGTTGGGCCAGTCACTAAAACAGCTCAATCTATTCAACTGTCAGAGTGCAACACAGCTGTTATCTTGCTAGGACCAGGTACACAGTTTTACTTAACCTGCAAATGTACCCACTAAAAGCTGGCAACTGTGTTAGATTTATTCTAATTCCATGTAATGCATTAATTGTTATTACTCTTCTTCCAGTAAAACTACTCAGAACTATGACTCACAGCTAAACATACTAACCTAGAATTCTTCAATTTCCATATATGCAAAAGAATTTATGTTATTACTAAGCTCATCAAGGAACTTCGTTCCAGGCTGGCCTGTAGTATCATAAATACTATCTAGCTTTATATAGAAGTAGGGAACAAAGGATTTTCTGGTTGATATCTGCATCTTTCATTACTGCATTTTCCTCCTGTCCACTGCCACTTCCAGAAAATCTGATTTGAGGACATGAAGCAACAGATTACCAGGCAAGAGACAGATTGGCCAATACCGAACTGCGGCAAAATGATGAAATGAATGTGATTTTGGAAGTACACCAAGTTTTTTGGCCACTAAATAACGCAGTCCAACCAAGATACATAAGGTTTCTTTTACTTTTATTGTTTTCCTGCCTTGCTGTCAGATGCATGACCACCTGTAGACTAACCTGAGCTAATTAAATTCATCTGGTGTGAATGCAGTAACGTGAGCGGGCTTCATTTGACAGGGGAGTGCCCTAGCCCACAACTAGGAATGCATTATGAATAGCTTCATCACTATTCATCTGAATAGTTAAATTACAATAAGACTGGGTACATCTATCTACATGTGCTGCTGGCACACAGCTGTGTACAAATGCAGTTTAAGCTATTTCAGCAACACTGAAGCACATGAGTAGGTCCTGGTAGGTGTTCCAGCCTGTTAATCTTCTCGTTTGCCACGTATTAACAGGTTCACTGATGGCGACTCTAAAGGCTGAATTGAAAAAGTATTTTAACTCCATAAATAAAATCAAATGGAAGCTTTAGGAAAATCTAAAAGAATCAATGTATGTAAAAACAAAAGAGCATCTTTTTAGGCTTTAGCATCTCTGCTGAAGATGAAAGGAGTGGTAGGCTCCCAGCCTGCACAAGTGTTTTCCCCAGGATTTCTGCCATAAGAGCTTCAAACTAGAAGCACTGTCATGAAAAACACTTTTCTTACTCAGCAGATTGAATTGGAGGGGCAATACAAAACTAAGCTTTAACAGACGCTGCTGTACCCATGCTATCAATTAAAGTAGCAATAATGCTAGGAAAAAGGCAATCTTAGATCCACCTCTTTCTTTCTAAGACAGCTGAAGAATGCATGAGAAAATATAAAATGAACAAGCTGTAGTCAAAACCATTAACTGTCAGAAGGAATGAGCAGTAAAAATATTTCAGAGTGAGAATTGAATGTCTGTAATAAACACCTAAAACTAAAGATAGTAGAAAAGCTAACTTACTCGGGGTTTTTTGTTGTGGGTTCGTTTTGGTTAGGTTTTGTTGTTGTTGTTTTGGTTTGTTGTGGTTTTTTTTTGTTTGGTTTTTTTTTTTTTTGTTTTTGTTTTTTTTTTAATGGAGGTACATGCAAGTTTATTATTGGGGAAAAATGATCCCTGCTTATGTAGATAAGAGGTAATCAAAAAATAAGGAAAATAAGAAAAGTCTTTAATACAGGAAGAAGTGGGCAGAGTTGCATGATGGTTTGCTGCAGACAGGGATTATTGGTCACACAATATGCAGAAGTAAGCTTGTGCCCTCTCCCCCCATGCAGTGAAATATATAACATTGTATGTAGGGTGGTGTCAAATGTCACCACGTCTTTCAGATACTATTATATTACAGCACCAAGGACTGAGTTACGATTTGATTAGCTGTAAAACCAACCAATTTATAACCAATGTGAACAAAAAAGAAAGGAAATAAATGTCTTTTTTTGGGGGGGAAAAAAAAAAAAAATCGAATCAATCAACAAGTGAAAAAACAACAGAACAGGAAAAACATCGCACTATCTCAGATGAATATAATAATAAAAACCACAGAAATACTAGGCATCACTGAATGCAATAACGATTGAGAGCTGCACTCCTAACTGTACAACTTGTTTGTCTATACCTTCAACATTTTTAATGAAAGAATGGTTGCATAGTAGAGACAACAATGTTTGCTAAGGTGGATGCTTCTCAAGCACTGCGACTATTTTGGAGAGTTAAAGAAGGCATCATTTTCCTAAGGCTCTGTGAATCAGGTTTTAATTTGATGACTGATTTCTTCAAAGGTATGATGGCAGCCAGCCATGATCCAGCCCAATGCTACTGGGAATGAGCAGGATTTTCCCCTGACCTTGCTGATAAATTTTGGGGGCACCAAGTCCTTCCAGAGAAGAACTGATACTGATTCTCAGTACTGTCTCCTATAGACTTCAGTCAACCTGAGGAGTTTAGACCTGGAGAAAGGCCAGTAAAACCTCAAGTGGAAGATGGGGAAAGGCAATGGGCAGACCAGAACATGTCTAGGAGATTGACAAGAGACTGAAACTCAGGATGTGACTAGTTGCGCCTGAAGACTGGAACGGAGTTGGATGAGAGGTCAGATGAGAGGTCAGAGAACTAGGGACTTGCTATGCCAGAGAGATTAAAGAATTGAAGGCTTGAATCTTGAATCTGTGAAGGCAGACAGTGGGAACAATTAAGAACTTGGGGCAAGAGATGACAATTGCGAAAGGGCAAAAGGAAAAGACACTATCAGTAAGTCTACCTTTCACAAAATTCTGAGTGCTTGTGCTGGTAATCCTGTTTTGTCTTTAACTTATTTTTTGCATATATAACATTTATTTTTTAATGTTTATTTACGAAAGACATATGCCTCCTTCTTTAATATATTCTACATCAGGTGCAAGTTGTTTTCATTGCTCTGGAAGACGGCTTCAACATGTGCTATCTACAATAGCTTTTTTAAATGTATTCACAGTATATGTAAAAAGCTATTAGAAGGAAGCAGCCAAAGTAGTCAATAGAACACTTGAGCCCTGAACCTCAAGTCTACCTATAGAACCTGAATATCAATTACATTTATTAAACAATGAGGAAGGAGTAGGGGGGATAGATCTATTCTTAAATCAAAACCAGAAAAAAAATGTAATTACCCAAGTAATTTCAACATTCTATTTTGAAGATGTCACTGTTAAATTGAAAATACTGTTCACGTACCGTATAGTGAAAAAAAATCTGCTACAAATACAATTAAAAATTAAAAAAACAGAAATACAAAATTGGAGAAATGTTATTCACATACAAAAAAGTCAACAAAAAAAAAAAGGATAAAATATTGACCCTTCAAAATAATTAAAAAAAAAAAAAAAAAACAACAAACAAAAACTTCAAGGAGACTATGATTTCACCTACTAATTCAGAAGGACTCAATTCTGTCAACACTATCTGTGCCATGCAATCTATTCATTGGAACTGCTGTCATGAATAAGAATACAAAAGGATCTAGTACACACATTAATCTAAAATAAGAGTTGCTCCAATAAGCAGATGATGTTTTAAACAAGCCACAAGCCCCATTCAAAATTACATTGAACAACAGTTTCATATCTAATTAGACCAGGTGAATTAATTTGTTGCCTACCTATGAAGGTTGCTAATTCTCAAAAAGCAACCAACCAACTAACCCACCCCAAATTCTGAAAATAACAGAATATTTCACTGCTATGGGGAAAGGCCTCAGATTAAAATCTTCATACTACTTTCGTTTTTGACATGTTTTAAAACATACAATTTTAAAAATAACCTAAAGCAAGTTCCATATGATTCATACTGCTTACCACAGTCTCAGAGCAGCCATACTCTAATCAAAATAGCAACACACTTCTTTTCTGGTGGTAGTTGTTTTTTTGGGTTTTTTTTAAGACTAAAGATCTCAATGCCAGAGATTAAACCTCTCTCTTGGTATACATAGACTTTCAGTGTATGTCAGATGTAGTAATTTTACTTGGCACATGCTAAATGGATAGGAGACAGGTAAACTTTTTTTTGTTTTTGAAGCTATTTAGATGATATGATTTCAAGTCATCAGCCAAAATACTCACTCTTTCAATTTCAATGAATGTCAAGAAAATATAGTTGAAAAATATTTTACTTGCTTACAGCTCAATCCACAAAAAGCTATAAAAGTATCAGAAGTGATTTTTTAATCACTTGTAAGCACTGAGTTGTTAAAACTAATGTCTCTCTTGATACTTGACCAAGCACATCACAAATAATAACACGAGCCCATTAACTTGTCTTAATGAAAGTTTCCAAGGAAATAGCGTCTCACTGTAAACAATTTACCAAACTGCTTCTGCTGAAACGTGCAGAATGGCTGCACAATCCACAAAGGTATTCTCTACTTTGTGCCTAGTAAGTTTTATTTGATGAAATACAATTAAACAGACAGTACAACATAAAATAGCAACAGAGGAGAGTTCACAACAAATTTTTCAAGCTATCAAAATGAGACATAACTGTATATATTTAGAATTATTCTTAATCTTAACCACAAGTTCTACACACATTCTACATAACACAACACAGGATTAAGGAAGTTCTGTGCAAGAGTATAAGGCAAAGATTTCCATTATAAAACTCCCTATTATTTTTTTTCAAACTGCCAAATTACATTTGTGAGCAAAAAATATTAAGTTCTATTAACACAGGGGACAAGCTTTTCTAAATTAAATGCTTATATTAGGCTGCAAAATCTATTTGTTATTTAGGTAGCAAAAGTGAACCAATTTTCATTAGATATGCAGCATCTTTTGAAATGATAAAGTTTTAATTAGGCTTGTAAAAATGATTTACAAAATCTAGCATGTGTGAAATTTAATTTGAAACATTTTTTACTATATTTGGGGTAATTTTAACTTCCTAGGTAACATCCGCTTCTACAAGGATTATAACTATTTAATACAGAAGAATGCTTTGAGAATTAGTTCTTTAATATTATTCAGTTACTAGTGGATGCTAAGGTAGAATTTATAATATAGATGCAAAAATTTTTGTAATCTATATTTCTTTTAGTTCTACCTTAATTATCTTGTGTTATTATGTTGCTTTTCCAATCACTCTTTATCCCAAACACTCATACGAAGTGTTGTTGCCTTAAGACCAGTGAAAGTTCTTTTATTAATTAATTTTTCTAGTGACAAGCAAACAAGAGTGATGTGTATGTTTCCACCTTTATTACTCATTTTTCCCCTCTTTGAGAAGACGATGATCCCTCCTGATATGGTCACTCTGTGAAATTATTCCCACTGTAAATTAAAATCTTGTGTCCTCTTAAAAGATGACTAACACTGAGTGACCTACGATTTTTTTTTTTGAAGGCTACAGTAGCCTTCAAGCTAACAAATCATACTAGTCAGTCTAAATTTTCTACTTATTAAATTTAACCATTTAATTCTTTTTTATACCCAACTGTATCACATTACCAGTTCCTCTGTATTCTACCAAGGCCTGCTGTTAAGTATGTGCTGAGTACTGCAGCACTCAATTTTTTTAAGGAAATGGGGTCTTTCCCCCGAATTAACCATTTTTAATGCATTTTGTCTGTTTTGGCACTCCTGAATTCTGAAAGAACGTGCAAGTTTCCAGCCATGGTCATATAACAACTGTCTGGAAGGATACATCATTTCATATCCCATAGGAAAAAAAGTTAACCATGTTTTGAGTTATTCAAAACCTAGCAACAGATCCAACAGTGACAAAGAATTATGCTCACACAACACAGAAAAGGGGAAATTCTGAGCTATGCTGGCTAATCTTCATTCAAAGATTACATACCTGTAATATCCCAGAATGACTTACAGCTGCATTGGTCTCACTTGGAAAAGATATCATATGATCTGGAAAAAAGCTCTGTAACAAAAGTAGTTTGTATCAAAGTTTCTTAAAAATAAATATAAAACTTCCTATCTCTTTTGGATGTAAAATTAAAGTTGTCAGTGCAGTGCAAGATACCACAGATTCTCTTATCTAATAATTTCAGCTTACCTTAATATCATTCCTAAATTTGTGATAACCTATATATTATTTGCTGAAAAATTTAGAATTTTGAGAAAACATCAGTGGTCTCTGGAAACAAGAAAGTTTCATATACCAGTGCAAGCCATATTGCAGTACTTGGCCTTTAGCGTTGTTTTTATAGTAGTAATTTCTATTTCTGTGGACATATAAGACTCTCCTGGGGATTCAATATGCTACAAATGCTACAATATATTTTTCAGCATGCTACACCAACATGTTGAATTTTTTTTTTCTTGTTTTCATTACACTATAAACCCAGTAAAATATTTTGGGATAACTTCCATTAATAGAGAACAAGTCCTCCCTGTTTTTTTTTTTTTAACTTTCCATTTTGTCCGATATGATTTAACATCAAAATCTGACTACATCAACAGTGTGGTTAAAAAGTCCCCATTTAATGTGCCAATTCCATTATCAGTGAAAGATCAAGAGGTAATTTATGGGACAGACCTGCAGCTGGGGAGTTCAATATAGTCATGCAGATACAAACCAGACAAGAGTTTGACCATTACTAATAAAGTTCTCTAAGGCTTGGACAAGTTTGAAGCTAATATTCCCTTGAACATCCAGTGTCCACTGACTCATTTTTAACAAAACTGAACTACTGGTAGAGTTAATTCATATCAACTCATTTCTGATAAAGGATTCTTGCTACACCTGAGACCATAGTACCCAGAAGAACCACTCACCAGGAACAGTAAGGACTCTGATTAGCCACAGCTGCTGATGCTAGTCACATAACTGCATGTCTGCCATACTCCACAGCTGGTTCCACTCACTGGTTATCCAATACACAAACATACTTACTCTTTGAAAGTTTCTCTACTAACTGTAGACCATCTCAAGACTAGAATTTTTCACTAGTGCAGTGATATCTCCATGTCAGGGGAGTACAAGAAACACAGGTGGAGCAAATAAAAAAACACCTTAGACCTCTTATATCTTTTGGTATCTTAATATTTACTAATCTTTTTCATAGGTAGATAATTTGAGTTCCCTTCCACTTTTCACCTTTCAAGTCCTCATACATTTCTATTTCTCCCTTTGACATCTGAAACAAGCTGTCTTTATAAAAGACAGCATTAGGAGTAATCTAAATACACCATGAATTTGAGCAACCAGATGGTGAGTTTCTCCTGCTGAGCCAGGATTTCTTCCACAGCCTTTGCCATCAGCCAAGGTCTGAATCAGCAGCATTAACCTTTGGCAACGTACCCCAGTTACGAGTTGTCTCTGCTCTCTTTCCATTCCTTACATACACTAACTGGCTTCACTTTCACTTACTCCTAACAGGTTATGGCTGTTTTGTGTCACTTGTCCTTTAGGTGCAGCTGTGAGAAGCTGCCATTGGGCAGCACTGGACCATAACATTCAATTTTCACTTTAACAATAAAATCATCTTTGCTACAGATTCCCCTCCTCGCACTGCTTCATTTTATATTTTGTTGTCACTTGATGGAAGCTTCTCTCAATTTCAAAAATTTTATTTTGTCAGAGGTCCGTTTGCAAACTTCAATAAAGTTAAACTCATGTCTGGTCCCCTCACCCCAAAAAAAAAAAAAAAAAAAAGATATGAACATGGAGGTTTTACAGTTGCAACAAAGGGACTGGCCAACAGTTACAGGCACTACAATATACTCCATTTGAGTCCTTTTGACTCAAGTTATACTAACAGCTTTACACTCTGCCTGTGTGTAACAGGAAAGACTATTTTGTATCAAGAGCAATTGCACCATTTCACAGATACAATGTTGGGACTTACCAGTGGATTTTTAAAAAACTCGTACTTGGCATAATTTTTTCTAAAATACAGTTTGTTTTCCTCTTCCATTACCCAATTTGACTGGACTTCCATCACTAATTCATGGTCCTCTATAGCTCTTCCTGTAAAAAGAACCCAAACAAATTAAAAAAAAAAAAAAAAAAACAAAAAAAAAAAACAATACATAACCTGCACCTAAGAGCAGAACATGAAAACACAAAGGTCAGATAATAAAAACATTATTAAATTAATTTAAATGCATGAATACAAAACATGAAACAAGCAATCTGAACACAGTCCATTAATCAGGTCTATGTACACCAAGTTACTGTTCCACCCCAGTAGGGCCCAACTTCTGAGGTCTGTCACACGTAGGGGGTTTTTTGTGTTTTGTTGTTTTCTTCTACAGGGGCAACTGAGGGCTTTATTCCATGTCACAGCCAAATCTGTGTTCTCTGTGCAGAAGCCAAGTAGCTCCTGCTGTGTGACACATGGGGCAGAAGGCAGCAGAGTGCTTCAACCATTTGCTCAGACTGTTTAGGGTGTCAGGAATGTCTAACACTCCGTTCTCTTGCATCATTCATAAAGTGAAAGTTATCTGCAATATAGAAAAGCATTAATTTGCCACCTTCTCCCCAGGACCCTACTATGTCCTGAAGCATTTCCAAAACTGCAAATGAGTTTAGGGCATTTTAGTGTTTTAATGTTTTTGCACAAACCAGGGATACTGAGCCTCAGAACTAGCATATGCAAAAGGAACGGTAAGAGCAAGCCATGTAATAAACTAAAAAGGAAAAGGAAACAAAATAATAATCTACAAAGCAAGTCCTAATGTGTAGTTTGGCTTTGCAGAGGGGAGAGGGGAAGAAAAGACAAAGAATTCAGTTATTTGTATCACAGCACTGGTGTTCAGAATCAGTTTTCTCACTGCTTTAGACTGTTTCTGCCACTCAGATTCTTGAGTGAATTTTTCAGTTTTACAGCAATATGAAATGCACTTATAGGAAAGATACAAATCCAAGAACTTTCCTGTAGATGTGTTGTGCACATTTATGTGTTGCGTAGTCTGAGTAACACAATGGGACTACTCACAGTGCGGGAAGTTAAGCATAAATCCTGAAAGACTATGGATAATTTCTGTACAATACTATTTATATGGCTTTTTTTCTTTTTATTTAATAAATTTCAGCAGCTTATGAAATCATGCTACAAAAAAAAGGTTGAACAAGTTTTCAAATGAGTATATAGTTTCTGTGGCCACTTGTATTTTGTTGTGGACTCAAGCTAATGAGAACAAGATGAAATTGAACAAAGTTGTAGGTTTTATTTAAATGATCATTGGCACCTCCAAATTTAAATTACACTCCAACAATGAGTTACAGGTTAAGAACAGACTTGAGATCTGAACTTATGTCTCCCTGACAATTATGAGGTTTTAACATCCAATTCTGACCATGGTTTCAAAGGGAAAAGGCAATTAAAAATATATTATAAAACCCATGTAACTCACAATTTTGTGATCACATTTTCTCCACTTCATTGCATTATCATAAAGGATCTTATGATATGCTTTAAATGAATGTTAATGCTCTCATATAACTGCCTGTTGTTAGAAAATTTTTTAAAAATCATAACAGATAAAAGAATTATACATATTTTTTTAAAAACCTAATTAGTTATTAAATTAATATTAATGCTAGTTTTTTGCAAGTGGTCCTGGCTAAACAAAGAGCCCAACTTTCAAAAAGTGTAGCATGCACGACATTCTAAGAGATAAAGATCAAACATCAAATTTTAAATCATTAAAGCCTCTTTAGAACTACAGCATCTTTTTATTGATCTTCTCTTGCCATCTCTTTCACCAGTCACTGCTTCATGCTTCCAGTGTCCAGTCTGGTGGGTAACAGCATTACTGTAGCCTTCAAATCTGTAAGCTGCTTCAGGAAGTTTCCAGCTAGCAAATTTAGAGACAATACACTCATACAGCTAAATTTCACCTCAGGAGGAAAATATCAAGTTCACAACTCTTAGGAGACAAAGCACTCATGATCTACAGATCAAGTAGGGAAAAGTTAAACTTCCATGGAATTTAACTCATTCATCATTGAATTTAACTCATTCTTGAGCCCATAAAGAGAGAGATTAAGGATGCTACATGAAACTCACATTTTGTAACCAGATCAAATGAAGCAAATAAAAACATAAAGCTATTCAGAAAATAAAAAATACTCCAAATATACTGAAAGAAAAGCGAGCATTTTAAAATCTTGTACAGGTTGCTCTACTCCAAAACACATTCTTCAGATGCAGGGGTAAAGAGGCACTAAAGAACTGAAAATCTTACTCAAAACCAACTTTTTTTTTCCCTTTCACTTTTATAGAGAGAAAGTGCTCCTCTGGGATGACATTTAAAACTCTTAAATGCTTGGCATTGTGACATTTAAGAAAATACCATTTCCTCAGGACTTACTTCTTGGTACAAAAAAGAAGACATTCTGCATCACCCCAATGGATGGGTAAGGATGCTGGTAGTACTTTATTTTTAAGATGTCACATCACCAAATATTTTAGAATTGATTCCACGTACTTTCTTGAAGGAACTGAAAGACTGAGTTAGTGCCCTCCAAAACACAGCCCTGTAATCAAATCCCTACACGTTGACATGAAAAAGCTGCACTTTGGTTTAGTTAGATCATTTTTTTCTCTTCCAGCTAGACCAGAGAGTTTCTACCTTCCTCTCTACCACCTCTTTATTACTACTATCTCTAACATAAAGAGTACCTGCTACAGTCCAAAACTGAGTCTCCTTAACTGTGGAAAGTAACTAAAGCACATGAAAGAAGATTTAATGTTGAAAGTGCATGGCAGAATACATTTCAAGGAGCCTCCTCTCTAGCCACCTGGTGGAAGGGGGGGGGGGAAGGAGGAGCAGAAATAAACTAGCTAAAAAACATAAAAACCATTACCCACTGGCATTGCACAGATAGTGTTTTGTGAGCCTTCCCACAGGCTACCTTAAAGAATGCAGATAGTGAAATCAAAATGAGAGACTGAAACACAATGATGATGTGCCTGTCTGAGGCACTATCGCCTACTCAAATAGGAACCCTAGAACACAAGTCCCGTGAGCTGCAGAAGGAAATGAAAAACTGTTTACAGTCAACACAAAAATTTCTCACTACAAAGGAAAAATTTCAGGATGAAGACAGTACTTTCCTTGAAAAAGAGAACAGGTATGGAAAACTGTTCTTTTTTTGTAGGCTGCCTTGTACAGGGGAATTGCAATGGAAGTATGGGACAACACCACCAAGGTACCTGGGGGTAAGGATGACAACATCATCCTAATCTAAGCATACCTGAGCTGACTTCAATAGTCTTAGACAAGGTGAAAACATCCAAGAATGTCTTTGAATTCAATAGCTTGGGACAAAAAGGACACATATCAGAAGCACACAGTTCTTAAATACGTTGTGATTTATAGTGCTGTAATAATCATCATACTTCAGGTATTTGAAATAGAGCCCAGGCTACTGCAAAACTCCAAAGATGGGTAGGAAGGCTGAGATCTGGCTCTTGGGTGATGAGGCAGCGGCAGCAGCCTGTGTGCAGTGTGGGTGCCCCAGGGCAGGCAGATGGGGTGCATTGGCCAGCGCCCTGGCGTAGCGGCGCAGGTGGAGAAACCATCTCCCCTGCCCACTCACCCGAGTCAGCACAACCTGGTCAGCACTTGCCATTCAATGCAGTGAAGACATGACCATGCTTAATGTTCAACAATATAGCTCCACACTAAAGAGTATATAGGTCTGTGAAAACAGGAATATACAGACTGTGGTTTTAAGTTTTGATTTCGGTGGGATTTTTAATTTTTTTTTTTTTTTTTTTTTTTTTACCCTTCACCTTCAGATACCTCCACACAGCAATGAAGGCACACTCTGGTGATGTAATTAATGTCTGTCTTGATTAAAAGAAGAATGCCGTGCTCAGCTCACTAAGATTCATGCAATTATATCTACTTCAGAAGTATTCAGACATCTGTTAGATATCAAGGAAAATGTTCGCTAATTGATGAATGAATTATTAATCCCCATCACACTGGAATTTACACAGACACACACTCACAGTACTTCTTTCTATAGCCATTCATTTAACTTGGTAGCAGAAAAAAACCTGTCCAAATTTCCATGGGTAAAACATACAACAGAATAATAAATCATAAACAGTCCAAAACTAAATTTGGATTTGAAAAATATTTGTTCATGTTACTCATCCAGTGCTTAAGAATATACTTCGATATGTAAAACCTTTCAAACAAAAACAAATCTAACAGTATCATAAAAATAAATCAATTATTATTCAGTATTATAAAAATAAATAAATAAATAAAAGATATCTTGAATTGTTCGTTTCCTTGGCCAATAATGTTAAATTGACTTCCTCATCATCTAGGAAATAGTTTATTTTAAAAATGAACAAATCATCTTTTTTCTAAAATTAAGCCCAAAGCAGCTCGAGCAATCACAAGACTGTATGGTGAATGAAGGTCTTCAGACCTGCACAACAGCAAATTTGAGAATTTCAGAATCTTAAGAAAAGCAGCTTCACTAATGATTTGATATTGAAATCTTCCAAGAAATCCTTCAGATTGAAGAAAACACACAAAAAGTATATTGTGCAAATAAATCTGTAGAAACAGAGACACTGTTGTTCTGGCATGGTTTGTCAAAAGTGTCTTCTTCAATAGTTACCTAATCACCAGCGACACTATAATATACAGAAAATACTTCTACTGTTTGTATAGTACTGTTGTCTAAAGCTATTTTTATACTTCCTCTTCTGTAGAAGTCAGTCATTTACAGCCTCAACCCAGATTTAACTCTGACCTTACTCTGAGCTGGAAGCATCTTACAACTCATACATTCAGTGCAAAAGGTTATGAATATCTTTGAAATGTTACAAAGCAAGAAAAAAATAATGAAAAACATTTGTGGCTGCCTTCTTAGGATAAAAGAGCAGAAAACAGTTTTAGCTTTTGTAGTTCGTCTTTAAAATACAGCTGCTAAACATAATACAGTTGGAGACGCACAGTCAAGTTTATTTTATACGAGTCCAGATTCCCTAGATACAAACACAGAAAGGGAACTTAACAATAGCTTTTAGCCATATATAAATATCCACTGTGTGTGTGTAGCGGGGGAGGATTGTTTGTTTTTTTTTTTGTTGGTGGTGTGTAGGGTTTTTCTTAAACTGACAGTAATGGAGTTACCAGGTACCAGTGCAGTCTCTTCTGAGAATTAAGAACTTCAAGGAGTCTTCTATGTATTTTAGAATGCAAGAAGGCCCACAAAACATCCTCCTTCTCAAGACACACTTTGTACTAGCAGCTGGAACTGCTCCTGAGGTTTCAGAAGTACTACCTTTGGTAACTTTAGTACAGTGCCACAGTTTAAGGATAATATAGAAACTTTGAGTGACATGAAATCAAAACCAGATTTTTTATGACATTTGCCTTCTAGTACATTTTTTCTGACATAATACCCCATCAAAACCAAACACAACACAGTACTGCAACATAGTTCTGCAAAAGGAAATAAGACTGTCTGACCAGAGTATCAGTTCAATACTGCATCCTAGCAGTGGGTTTCTAAACTCATCTTTTGCTGAGTGAAGTCTCTTTTGGGTTCTGCAATTTTTACATCTCTGCAAGCATTCACTTTCTCCCTACATTTAATTTGTCTTAACGTGTTTTCATACCGCAAAATTACATCTATACACTACAAAAAGGAACAGAGACCAGAAGTTAAAATTGAAACCACAGTTACATCTTTTAAACTGTGTAATAGAAATAGAGGCTTTTTACTATACTAGAGGAACGCTGATGATGTGGAAAGAGTTCAGAGGGTTTTCTTTCCAGTAACTTAAAATACTAAGCATAAAGTCACTTCAACACAATTCATTGGTCCATAACTGGAAGTTTAGCAGAATGGTTTTGTTTTGCTTTTTAAGTATTCCTGTTCCAGAGTTCACAATAAATCTAGCCGAACTGGCCATATTGAAGAAAAATGCTAAGACCCTACTCTGATGTTGTTTCTGCAGACTGAGTCCTATTGTCCAGAGAGAACAGCACTGTGTAACACCTTTCTGTGTTGAGGTAAGAGATTTCACTCAGGTGTGTTGGGAACAACAAAGATTTTATTTGCAATGAAAATAACCCAAGCCTTGTTAGAGATAAGCAGGAAATACCAACAAGAGAGGAAGAACGACCAAAGAAAATCAAGGAAGAGTGAGGAAGAATTTGTAGTGAAAATCTTAATGGTCAGTGTCTTACAAATCACTCTTAGAGATTCCGATCAGGCAGTATGAGACAAATGTACTGCAACAAAATGCCCTTTATAGCTATGCTTTAAAAAAAAAGAGAAACAGAAGCAACAAACTCTCAAAAGAACAAATTCACACAAGCCCTCCCATGCCTTTCTATTACAATTGTACTTTTATGCGAAAATGAAAACCCAACACCTTATTTACTGCCATACCATTATATAGTATTAGTCTTACCTAAACCTGTGTGGGTAAGTTGTTCAAACAGAGTCCAGCTGTGGTCATCAATGTAGTGGTTCCTCAATATCAACAGCTGACATACATCCCTGGCTGTTATATCACTTGGTACATCCAAAGCTTTGCTAGTATCATCTTCACTATACACTTTAATTACCTGCAATAAATAAAAAAGCTAAAATAGCCATAAGTTTAATCTTTCATTCAGTTAGTCCAAATACGTTCATCTCATCTTCATGACTGAGACAAGAACCTATACACATAAGATGCAATACTAAAGACAGCCATTTCTTTCTAGTGCAATGGCATCGTTGAGAACAAAACAGCTGAGCAAAGCACATCCCACTTCTGAATCTGGCTACTGGACATCCCTTGCCACAGGACACTGGACAGATTGGTGCATTCACTTTAAAAAAAAAAAAAAAAATGTAACGGAGAGGTAAATAGACCCTGTGAAACTCTATATTCTTATATAAACTAAGGAAAAAACCATGGAGGATAAACAATGAAACTCAAGAACTCTGTGACTGCAGAACTATAGAAAGATTTTATAAAATTAGAGTTAGTTCAGAGAACAGCAATCATATTCCACATGCTCACAATTCTATAGAACATAAAACCAGGAGGTGCTATAGAGCTGCCTCAAATATTGATAAGCAAGAACTGGAACTATAAGTACAAAAAAGCATATGGGTATATATATATCAAAAGCATCATACATGGAACAGAATTACCATCTTATGAGGACCAGGAAAGTAAATAAAAAGTTCTAGAAGATTACATGCAAAAAACTTATCACAGAGTAGACAATTTTTATCATGCTTTATCTCAGCAGTTTTTCCAAGTTTCTTTATTCTATTAAGTAATTATGGAGGAGGAGGGAGGCGGCAATACAAATTCTCATGACTTATCCTTGCCATTTGCACTTTTACATTTCAGTAAAAATTTTTTTTTTCAAGATTGGTACACATTTTAGAGTCCTGAAGAATGTGTGTCCACTAAGTTCTTGACGAAGTGAAGCTAAACCTGTTTAACCTTAGTTTCAAATGAAGAGACTGAGAAAGTCTTATTGCATATTGACTGACTGAAAGAAGGCATGACCATTTGGGTATTTTTCTTCTGTATTTTCTTTCTCTGAAGGAGAATGAATGAAATTAATCAGATGAATCAGTGAATTGGATGGAATTGGTGCAAAACACTAGTTCTCTCTCTTCATAAATTCTGCAGAGTGATTAATCCCATTAAAGTCAACACAGGTTTTTTTGTATAGGAGTAGAAAATAATTTCATATTCCTCACAGCAGTCAAGAAACCTAATACTCTGTTAGATTTCCCCTATTTCTCATTTTTAAAAAGTAAACAAAACACAGAGCGAAAAATATTGAGTCTCCTGATAGAAGGATCAACTCTTATCGGTGGTACTGTATGTTGGAATAGTAAGATAGTTCCTAAAATAAAACAAATGTCTGAGATTTTATTATAAACACAAACAAGCAGGTAAACAAAACTTTGGCCCTGCATATTAAATCAGCATGAAGTCCATGGTGATTTGCTTTAATATTTCAGCTAATAAATGATGACAGCTCAAGAATTCCACACAAGGTTCAGCCACCCTTGACACAGCACTGATCTCCAGGATAAGGCAAACATTAAAATCACACTTCTAGAGTGGATAAAAATCTATCTCTACTCATGGATCAACCACCTTAAAGCAGACTCTTCCAGGGAAAACAGGCAGAGCTTGGAGAAAGTTGATTCAAAGTTGCCGCAGGCCTAAATTACTCACATTTAATACAAAAGGAAAAAAGACCACATTGATAGTGAATTCAGTGATCAATACTGCCAAAGCAGCTGTGGGGAATGGCTGCAGTTGGTCTTATAAGATATCTATGCTTTCGCAGTGTTCCCACCGCCAAGCAAGTGAGACCAGTAGCAGTGCAGCCTGCTTGCAGTAGGGTCTTGTTCCACACACACAGCTTAAACTCCTACTCTAGTCACACAGAAATTATGTTCTGCAGTTCAGGATAAATCAGCATGAATTATTTAAATTCCTGCAGTATTTACAAGGATTGAAAGATGAAATTAAAAGAGGTGTCTGGCAGGGTGCGCTGTGAATGTGATGGAGGGCTGTACAGGTGAGTAGACAAAACAGCATCCCATCACCTTAAAACATGTCCTACTCTGGGCAGAACTGGAGACCAGGGATAGTTTCATTAGCCTCTCCACTAAGTCTGTGTCAGGCTGAATCTAAAAGATTTTACAGGCTGAAGTGCCAGAAAGGAGAGAGGCAGTACCAAAAGGGAAAGGAAAGGAGGGACTTAAAGTAAGTGTCCTAGTATTGGACTAGATGGTCATTGTAGGTCCCTTCCAACTGAAATATGCTACTCTATTTCTCAATATTCTTGCAACAAAGCCAGGGTGAAAATCCACACCAGTTCCCTGGCTAGGGACCCTGCTAGCACATACTAGCAACTACAATTTTCTCCAGGTGCTCATCAAGTTAGATGGTATGCTTGTTTTACAGCAAGAGCACGTACAGCCCATGCTGAGGCCCTTGACAGATGATTTTTGCAGAAATTCTTTTTAAAAGGGTTAAGAGTCACAGTGCAGATGACTACACTCTTATTGCTGAAGAAATAGAAAAAGACTTTTTAAGATGCTGAAGACAGCAACACAAGTCATGATAATGAGCTGCCTGCAGCCATTCAGCTTGGGGAGTGGGAAGCCTTGGAGGTGGCCTTGGACTACAGGAGCACAGCTAAACCAAACCAAAATAACACAACAAAAAAAAACAATGGAAAAAACCCCAGAGTTTATATTCTCTGTGAGTATTTCCACTTTGCTTTCTCGGTGTAGGGAAATAAATCCTGTGCAAGTCTAGAACAATGCTCACAGCTATGACGTGTTACCTTATAAAACACAAATGCTGTGCCCTTTTCCTCTTCCTTGCAAGATATTCAAATACAGCAGGAGACAACAGACAGACAGCCACCTAATAGACCCTTATGAACTTCTGTTACAGTTTTAGTTTAATGAATTGAATGTGATGGTGTAAATCTCATCAGTTAGAGTGACCTTTGAGGGGTTTTTTAATTAGAAAAACTTGCTCAGTCTGCGCTTTCTGCTGTGTTTGAAGCAAAGTCTTTTGTAGGATTTGCTGGGAATGTATTTGTTCCAAGAGGAGTGGATCAGATGAAAAAGGATAAATTCAAAAGCCTATTTTTCTTTGATAATATGTTGCAATAAATACTTCTCTTCCCAGAAGTAGAGGATGCTCCAGGAACTAAAGGGTGGCAGATTATGCTAAAGATGCAGTTATGCTGACCTCCTGTAGAGATGAGGAAACTTGAGTGACCACTACTTTATTTTTATTAGCAGTTATCACCATGCATTAGGCTGGCCCATCACCCCCCTCTCTTTAATTTTTTCTCCTGAAAATTTGCTTGAGAAATAGAACATAAGAAAAGAGCTGCTAATTGAGAACAAGCTGTCATTACAGTTTTCATTACTGTGCACTCTAAAGCTTTGTTCTAAAGCAAGCTATTTAGCTTCCCTTGACTATATCTATTAGTAGACAGTTAGAAAAAGTTGCCTCAGTAGTGCTCAAATCTTCTTCTTTCCTGTCTAGTTTATAAATACAAGAAGATTTTGGTTCTTTCCAAGGTCAGAAAAAGAAACATCTCAATAGCTTCCAGTTAAACCACTGGAAGTAAGAAATCAGTAGCTCCGAGATCTTCTTATAAGAAGAAAGTCCCAAGCTAAGCATGATAAGCATTAATCAATTTCATTGCCTATCGGAGCAGGTACAGCTTTCCTACACATCCTTTTTTCGTTTTTCAATATCTTAAAAATCAGCCAAGATCCCAGAAGTCTGTGCAATGCATCTTTTTCCTCCAAAAAAAAATGTGATAAGAAATGTTGCTTCAAAATAAAATATTACTGTTTGTATATCACTAATCATCTGAACTCAGAATGTAAAATCAATATTGACAAATATAACCTAGTATTTAACACAGAAAAGTAGAAAGGAAACCCTAGCTTTTATACTAAAAAATAATCAGGAGCAAAAAATAATCAGAAACTGTTTAAAAGAATAAGCAAAAGAGCACATAAGGTAATCAGTGTGGGAGGAGGGAAGAGCAAGAGAAGGCTGGACTCTACTCCTCCGAGTCTTCTTCCACACTCAACTGTCATCTCCTCTACAATAATTAAATAATGTGTTTCATAGACTTTTAAGAGAGGGTGTCCAATTCTGATTCTTCAGAATCTTCAAGCCATCTGTTTTGGAAGTTCCAATCTGCAGAAACAGTACAAACATATGGAAAGACCATACCCTGCACTGAGGAATTTAAAATTTCAAACTAAGTCCTAATGTGTGAAAAAAGCCAGGTAGATCCAACAGAATAACCACCACTCGGCACATGCCTACATCAAAATGACCTGACATTTATATGATTCTTAATGCTCCTGTATAGTCATTAAGACAGTGGATGGTCAGTACCTTAAAAAAAAAAAAAAAAAAAAAAAAAATCAGGCCACTTCTATTTATATGATACAAGCACCTAACTTTAACTTATATTTCCTACAACTATTTTCCCCCCATGAATAAAACATTGCACATTTTGTACTTGCATTACAATTTCAGTCACATTTATGTTAAATGCACAGCTACTGTATACAAAACCAGGCCTTAAAGTCTTACACTCCAGGGTGCCATGCTTCCCCTGAGATCCTGCCTGATGCTATGCTAACCTCTGTCTTTAGTGTTAACTAACAGGCTATTTGCCTGAAGCATTTGTTCTCCAACTTCCAACCTTGCCCCCGCTAGACAAAGTTTTTTGCTTATTCATATTGGTATTGGGTAGGGGAATTTGGTGTGTATTTGAACTATAATGGAAGCGCTTGGAAATTTCTATCATTTTGAATTATTTTATGACTTCTAGCAATAGCCTGTCTTGGTTTTAGAAAGGATCATAAAAATATTTAAGAGCAGGTTAACTCACAACTAGTTTTAAAAAAATAAAGAGTGTTAGTAAAGTTTACTGTCTTCATTATCAGATCTGAATTCAGGACTTTCCCTTTAAACATCCCATTCTACAGTTAAAAAGCCAGCTTCCAGTATTTACTCCAGAGAGAAGTTTTCCATGCCAGAAGGATT